GGTTGCGATCCGTTGCCGGTCACGAAAAAAGACAAAAAGGAAAAAAAAAAAAAAAGAAGGTAAAATTAAAGAATGCGTAGGTAGACAGATGGATAGATGATAGATTTGATTGATTACATATGGAGGGTAAATGACTGTCTCTGGATCTCTAGGTCCCCTGTCGTTAGCAGGGGAACAGTTTTCCAGAATCATGACCCATCTACTTCCCCAGAATATCTTAAATATATAAAAATAATAAAAAGAAGCATTTGCAGAGAGTAAAGAGTAAACCAGTGATTCATTCTTACTTTAATATCTAGGAAGATAATAAGCTAATCTATTTTCCAATTTCTTGAAGGTCCAACATAGGGGTTGAAATGATGAAGAACTTTACCTCTGTCAAGGTCTTACCGTGTAACAGTAAGTCTAGTGTACTGCTGCCTGCTGTATTCACAATTTATCTATTTAAAGGGCATTCTTACTGTGAGGGATATTTATTCTACATTAACCATTATGATCTCTCATTTCCTGTAATAAATGATATCAACTATATTGGGTTTCAAAAAAAGGGATTTTATTTTTGGAAATTATTTTCATATCAATTTAAACCAGTTTTCATCTTGAGTCAGATATGAAAGGCTAGGGACACCATTAATTTCAGCTGCCCCCTTTCAAAATATACAGGCTATTTGTACTTAAACTTGATATGTGTTCCCCAAAAGCCAATAATTGTATGCCAGTGCTATGTGAAAATGTCTCGGATAAGCTGCAAAGATTCAGTTAGGAAATTTCTTTGGTGGTTTCTAATTTCTCTTTCAGCCAAATCATCTCACTTAAAGTTCTATGAAGCTAGCAATTTCTGAGGATTTTTGTTTCAGTTTTATCACAAAACCTTTAGTGGTCAACACAAAACCATCTCATTCATAAAAGTGATGTTTCTGCTTTACTGTAATTAAAGTGGATTTCAATAAAACAAATGATTTCCATTATAACAATAAATGAGGCATACATTTACCCATTGCTCCTTTTTCATGCATTCAGCAAATGTTTACTGAGTACCTACTGTGTGCAAAAAACTTTGCAAAACCCTGTGGAGAACATAGATATAAATAAATTGTGAACCAAGACCTAAAGCTCACAATCTATGAAAAAGACAAATCCCTGCTCTGCCATCATCTACACCCAACTTTTACACCAAATAAAATTCTCAGATGCTTGAGGTCTCTTGAGTTCTCATAACATGAAGTTTGTTACCCTTTCACCTGGACAGTGATTTCTAGTAAAATCAGGCAGTTTCTTAGAAGATAGTGCCAGGCTGTTATTTTTGGAGCCACTTACAACCTGATGCATTCAATATGGATAATATGGATATATATACCCTAATCCCCAACAATGCAGGTAGGTGATAAAAATGGACTTTTTAAGTGGAAAATATAAAAGTGGACTCAGAATCTTACCTGAAGGAAAGCTTAAAACGAGTTGGTCATTAAAGCTTAGGCTATTTTCATAGTGAATTGTTCAGAACAAGGTGGTCATGATTCTGCTTTTTTTCCTGCAGTAGTCAGACCACACTGAGAATATTACATCGAGTTGTAGACACAACAATTAAACAGTTAAGGGTTTTTTGATTAGCCAGAGAACATGATTCTGGTACCCACAGAATTAACAATGTGTGACACTCATTTCATAAACTTGTTCAGGTTTATTTTACGGATATGTAGTTTGAGGAGATTTACAATTCAGCAAGGCTAATGTCATCGGTGCAATATTCAGCCAGCCACTGACCCCTGCTATCATCTCAAGGCCACCTGTTTCCTCCTGACTTTGGTCAGCTGTCTTGCAGTTGAGTGACTTTGGGGACAAGGGAGAGCCCAGGGAGATATCGCGAATGCACAAGAGAAAACCCATCTCCACTCCAAGAAAAACTATTCAGTGAGAACTTCTAATTCATTCCTTTAGCATTGTCTTGTTAAGTATTTGTGGAAGAGAAGAGGGCAGAAATAAAGATGAAGAGGGTGAAGGGAAAAGAGGAAAAAGAGGGCAAAAATGAGGAGAGTGTTACCAAAATAATTTGTGGTAATGAAAAGTACTTACAATGGGAATTTTTATTGCCAGAGAGTGAGAGCACAAAGAAGAAATGTCAGATTGGAATGAAGATTCCTTTCCCCGGTGGTTATACTTTGAAAGGAAAGTGGATTACAGCATTTTGTGAACAGATTGAGTTCAGTGCAACTGAAAATATAAATGACTGCTTGAAAAGAAAACTTATTTACCTCATGGGAGATTCAACACTGCGTCAGTGGATTTACTACTTCAAAAAAGTTGTGAAAAGTATGTATTTTATTTTTATTTTGAAATTATACTTGACTTTTGAGGGTTTTTAAAATCACAATTAGAATTCTTTGCTTTTCTTTTCTGACATTTGTCTTACTATTATTTTTTCACTTGCCAAACTTTTGGTTT